TATATATATATATATATGTCAAACATTTGAAAAGTAAAGGAAATGATAGAGCAGAATAAAAAGTTTTAAAAATTTCTTAAGTTTGTAGATATTACACATTAAATCTATTCAATTTCAGAGCTAGCACAGAAATCAAGAAGGGCCTAAATAGACCTTATTTATCTCTTAAGCAACACAAACATGTTTCAAAAATAGTTTAGATTGTAGCTTTTCCATGACATTTGTAATTAAAATGTAATGCATTTGTTGTTTCTTAAAAAGGATGTAGTACATTAACCTATGTTTAATCTTTTAGTGCATTAGCCCAAACTTGGCAAGATTTTGGGTTATTGACATGTACATAGTGTACAGGATGGTACCATGTATTTGCTAGCCTCTTAGTTAATATATAAAATTTTCTGTTTTCTTTAGATTTGGTTAACATAGAAATTCGATCAAGTAAACAACTTATGTTTTTTTACACTAGCTGTGCATGGGACAGGATCACTCGTACTGGTAATTAAATGTGTTTTCTTGCAGTAAGGCTAGCTGTAACTTCACTAATAATGTTCTGAAATAGCTAGTCATCTTTAAGAATTGGGTAATGGCCCGGGTCTTCCCCACCCCTGTGCTGAAGTAAGAGTGGTCTTAGGTCATATGAGGTGTGAGTCATGAGTATCCATGCTTTGTGCATATAGTCTATTTTCACATGTAAAGGCTACACTCTCCTTGCCCTGTTATTATTCAAATTTATACAGATTGCAAATCCAACTTTTAGATTTTGAGTTTGAGATATTCTTTGATATTTGTTTTTCAACTTAAAGGTTTTCTTTTACTTTTAATTGTTAGTTAGCTTTCCTTTTATATACGTTCAAGGGTCTCACACTGAACTTGTGAGAGAGAACTCACACTCTCTCTCTCTCCCCAGTTCCACACACACACTGTAATCACTTGTTTGTGTTTTGTTGTTCACTCTGTTTATATTTGAATATAGATTGTGTGCAGCCTCTTTCTTTGTGATGAACTCCGTCAGAATAAAATATATACATGCTTCTGTTGATTATGTGGTTTGAGAATCTTTCTTTTTCTTCACCAGAATTGAAAACACAGAAAACATCATCGACATATCTCAACATTCATTTTACATTTCAAAACAAAGAATAGATTAAGTCATCAAAGCTAATTTATGCCACCTACAAACTTGTTCTCACCATCATGAGTATGCAGAGTTCTTTGGAACACAACTGTCTTTTTGAATGTAAAACTTACATAACGATGGCTCAATACTATGGAATGAAATGCTGTAATTATTAAAATAAGAACTTGCCTACTGTAAAAGTTGATGTTATTGTGTATTGAACAACTTATGTTTGGTTATTTTACTTTAATGTAATTAATAGTTCTGAAGTTCAGCATCCATTAGAAATAATACAAATTATTTTGTGGTAAAATCAGTATCTGGATATTTGATTTAAAGAAAATTATGTGTTGTTTTAATAAGTTGAGGAAAATAATACTTCTCTTCTATGATATTAAAATATATTTTCACATTTACAGTTTCCTTGATATTTTTCTTTACAGGTCATATGTATGGGCCAGATTCAAATGAAAGAAAGGTTTCCTTTGCCCGTATTGACAGAATACTTGACTCATTACAAACTGAACTTGAAAAACGAAATATGAAAGATGAGGTTTGTTTGTGTACTTTATAGTTGTTTAATGTGAAATTAAGTAGATCAATAACAGACAAATTTCAACTGCCAGATTGCACATCCCATGATTTTTTCAGATGTGCTCTTTGTTTGACTAGTTGTGTCATTCCTGTTCACCACCTGAAATTGCTTCTTGGTCACTGTATCATCATTTTGCCTATTGATGATAGACACTGGTCATCTGTAAACATGACTGTGTAATGATGGCAGGATAAAAGCAGTTGATGTTTGAAATATCATATTGTACATTTACTGTATACTATTCCTTTATATGTATTAATTAGATTTGTTCTACTTGAATTGTGTCAGACAGATTGTTGACAAGTAAAGGATGTGAGAGATGTTTAAGAAACGGTAGAAGGGAGATATATTGCATAGAAATAATAATGAATTATAGTCTTCAAATATTAAATCTCAAAAAATGAGAGATTGAACGAATGTTTATATTGCTTAATTGTTTTAAAAGGCATTACTTTTATTAATTGGGCAGGACATTGTTAAATATACACAACTGTTTCTGTTTAAGCTTAATGTGATAGTTATGATTTAGATAGTTTATATAGCGTGAGTGTTGAATTTAGTTCTTTTTAGAAGTAATAGTTTATTGCAGGTTTGTTTACGTAAATGTTTCCGAATCACATGCTGTGTAGTTTATTAGTTATGAATTGATGATTGCTATATTATTGCATCATATTACTAGAACCTTATAAATTTTTCTCGTTGTTTTAATTGAATATTATTGCATCATAATATCTCATAATGTCTGGAATGTTGTAGGCCTCTGTTGAGCTATAAATACGTGTCTAAAATGTAGTTCGAGTTTAGTGAGATAGATAGTTAGATCTAGACTGTGTGACTGCGAGTTTTAGCCATAAAGAGTGTATAGTGGCAGTTTTTAAAGTGAAATTATGACAGATTGTATGGTAATAATAGACTAGAGAAGAATTAGTTTTGTCAAATTGTGTTTTAAAGTAACTGAACCAGCCTGTGTTGGCTTTGATGAAAAAGAGACAATTATTTAAAGCTCTGGATACAACTATGTTAATCAGAAGTATAGCAAACACTTGTATATACGTTTGACTTGTTTTGATATATTATCTTAAAACAAATGGACTGTGTGCTGTTTGTTTATTGTTGACATTTATCACCAACAAGTCATGGATACCTACTATAAATAATCCTGCCCAGTGGTGAACCAGATTGAGAGGGGCGAGTGACTTGTGCTCAATGATGGTGATCTACAAGAGTTTGTTAAACAGCAACAAGACCTAGAGAGAGAAGAGCATCAACAGAGAAAGAAGAAAGAAAAAAAAGAAGAGACTGGAAATAGAGCAAATACGAACACAAGCTGAGATCGCAAAGCTCACCCAAAAGAAAGACAGAGGACTCAAAATTGATAATGGGGTCAGGGCCAGCTTACCCAAGCTGCCCAAAGAACAGGAAGATGACATGAATGCTTTCCTGGTGAGATATGAAAGATTCACCCAAAGTCAGAACTGGGACAAAGGCAATTGGGCAGTTCATCTCAGTCCTCTTCTCACTGGAAAAGGCCTACAAGTGTATGCAGGCATGATGTCAGAAGATGCCATGGACTACGACAAATTAAAAGTGGCCTTGTTGAAATTCTATGAGCATACCAAGGAAGGTTTTTGCCGGAAGTTCAGAGAAATCATACTTGACACTGAAGAAACTGTATTTCAGTTTATGGCACTTCTACGGCGATACTTCACAAGGTGGACTGACATGGCCAAGTGTGAAGATAAGTTTTGAAGGACTGGCAGATTTATTAATACTTGAACAGTTCATGATCCTGTACTCTACTGATATGCCAATGTTCCTAAAGAAAGAGAGTACAGAAAGATGTGGATGAGATGATCAAGCTGGCAGAAAGTACATGGAAGCCCATGAAGGGAGTATAACTGGCAAATCCAAAAATAACCAGTTAAAGTCAAAACCAAAGGTGACAGTAGGTTAATAGAGAAATGGAAGAAGAGATGCTATGCTTGATATAAAATGGGGCACATTGCAATGAGTGGAAATCTGTCACCAACAAGCAACAGCAGAAATTTCAACATAAAGCAGGTGGAGCTACCTGCAAAGATGGTGCTGGCGAGAAACAAGAAAAGAGTGACTGTCACCATGGATGCTGCTGCCAGAAGAAACAGAACAGAGACAACTCATTAGATTCACTACAAAGAGTAAGCTCTATCACTATGATTAACTGTCTTACAGTGGGCTTGGTCCCAGGGACTGACCTCATAACCGTTTTGTAATTGTTTTCAAACTACAACTTTTAATACAGGAAACGTATCTTCACAAAATTATGCATATTATCAGAAAACATTACAAGGCCTTAGTACACAAAATATCAGATTTGCAAAACATACATACCTCCACTGACACTGGTTGCTATTTCTTGATCTTCATTTTTTGCCATCTAACATTGTGTTCACTTGCTCCAGTCTTTATATACCCCACTAGACTGCCTTCGGCAATATCTGATTTGCAAAACTTTATGCTGGCCCTCACATGCCCTCTATGCAGGTACTGTATATAAGCACTGAATGCAGACAAAAAAAAACTTTTTACTCTACAAAGCACAAGCATTCAGGCTAAAGTTTTGTGAAATACATTTTCTTAGTTTTCACTTTCTAATAATCGGGAATTCTCTGTTTTCTTATCCAGAAATATATTTTATTGAATTTGTTTTTTGTTTTTTTCCTACAAATATATGTAAAAATATTGTATATGAATTCCCGTGTAATGGTTTCAAGCATGGAAGCTACTCAGCCTTTGTCTATTCCAGTGGTATCTCTCCGGGCGGTGCTGCTTTAAATTTTCTTTCTAAACAGAATATTCTGGGGAGAATTTAGATTCCCTGTTTCCTGCTCCTCCTTTCACTAGAGCTTCCTCTCTTGAGAAATCATCTGATCAGCCACCTTCTGCCCCTTTTTTTGCCATTTGCCATGTGTTTAATAAGTTTTGGAGATGCAACCAGTTGCTTTTGAGTCTACCCCTGCTTTGTTGTCTGATTGTTCTCAAGAGGATTACTTAGTTTCCTCCTTCACCTGATATTGCTGTGCATACAGGGAGGTTTGCAACACAATTACATGAGGGTGTCACTATGCCTTCCCCCCTCATTTATCTGAACATGCCTTGGTGTATCATCGTCAGGATGATACATATTTGGACACTCAAATGTTGGATCCATTGTTGGACCTATGGGGTGCCAGGTATGAATCTGTTATCTCTCTTAACAGGTCACAATTTTTGTGGATTTGTTCAACTCTTACTATTGTTTTAAGATACTTCTCTTCCCTTCAACTTTTGTCTGAAACATATCACCAATCGCCATCTACAATTTGATGATGAACTGGGCCCTTTACTGGTCACTACTATTACACGATTGTCCTCTTCAGGACTTGCCTTGATGTCATGGTTGGTCTGTTGCTGGGACTTGTTGAGTCTTGATGCATTTTTGGAAGGTATTCACTTACTTTCTTCTGCCCTCTGAGATTTACGGGAAGCGCCTTTTCTTTGGCCTTATTTAATTGCTGGAATTCCAGAATCTTTAGAAGCCATAGTTGATACAGCACGTTTGCAGTCTTCTTTATCGTCTTTGGCTGTTCGACTCTATTCTACTTCCACTGGTACTTCCACAGGTTCATCCCTTTGTGTCTCAAGAACTCCTCCTTCCACTCCTCATTCCATTGGTTCTCTTAATCGCTTCCATCCTTATTGGGAGATTTTCCCACTGTGGCTGTGTTGACTACCTCTATTAGATTTTAACAGTGTGGTGAGTAACGTGTTATCTGACTTACAGTTATGGTTATTTTCTCTTCTAGGGTCCCTTTTGATTTCTTTTGGATCCCACTCAATGGTGAGTGTTGCCTATTCGGGTATGCTTGTATTTAAGTTCTACGCTAGCAACCTTTATATCAGTTCCTGGTTGCAGTGGGCTCTGTCGAGATGAGGTGTTCCATCAGACCATCTGGATGCAATTCTGGATGGTGATATCATATTGCAATATTTCTAATGGACTGCTACTCATGGACTATCATGAGTAAAGCTAAAGGGGATTTTACCAGTCCCTGCTGACCTTAGAGCTTAGAGTCGAGAATAGTTTGCTTATAAAAATTAGGGAACATGGTTCACCTGTTGCACTGTTTCCGGAGACCTGTTCCTCAGGACTCTCCAACACTTATGTACCCCCTTACTTCTAATAGTGGAGCTCGGGAGTCCTTTCCACACCCAGTTCCCAGTTGCTGGGGTGGTGGACAGAGGATTTACATTCGGAATGTTGAGTTTTCTCTACTCTTGGAGAAGAGGGTGAAGTTGGGGACCCTCGTACCTGGGTGCCTGTAAGTTTTTTTCCCCAGATGTTGGTAGGAGCAGGACCAACCTACGTGAGAGTCTACTCTTAAAACCAGTCCAGATTTGATGCTTAGCTATATAGTGGGGGGGTGCTTGGACCCTCTTATAAACACTGTCAGGTCTTATGTTCATGCAGAGGGTCCACTACCTCCTTGTAAATCCAAACACGATGCTATCCCATCTTTGGTCCTTGGTGGGACAATGTTCCTTAATTCTCTCCTTAATTCCATGGGTAAGCGGAATTCTCCTTGCCCACTTGGTAGGGGAGTAAAGACAACTGTTTGTAAATCTAGACTGGATGAGTTCTGGACTTTGGTGGAGTATGGCATATGATCCCGTTAATCCAGACCTGGGATGTTGCCTTTTGGGCTTCTTCAGCTTGATCAGAAGGATCGTCCACTTTAGTGTTGCTTTCTTTCATAACTCCAGTGGTTTGAAATGCATTATTCTCTGGTTACTTGTAGGTATGCTATCACAAAGATATATATATCTGCGGTCCAACTGCCCTGGCTACCAGTGTGGGAGCTGGACCATCAGACTTGTATTATATTCTACCCTTTTCAATTTTCTGTAGTTCTGGGTGAAGAGAATACTTGTTCTGGATG